ACCGCCACAATCACCACCGCCACCACCGCCACCAGCGGCACCACTATCGGCACCAGCGGCACCACCGACGCCACCTCCACCACCTCCACTACCACCACCACCAGCGGCACCACTACCACCACCACCTCTACTACCACCTCCACCACCTCCACCACCACCGGCGGCACCACCACCACTACCACCTCCACCACTACCACCACCACCACCGGCTCCACCACCACCTCCACCACCTCCACTACCACCACCACCTCCACCACTACGACCACACTGCATGGTTCGGTGTTAACAGGAGTGGCTGAGTGTTAACTGGAGGGTGCTGAGTGTTAACAGGAGTGGCTGAGTGTTAACGGGAGTGGCTGAGTGTTAACAGGAGTGGCTGAGTGTTAACGGGAGGGTGCTGAGTGTTAACGGGAGTGGCTGAGTGTTAACAGGAGTGGCTGAGTGTTAACGGGAGAGTGGCTGAGTGTTAACGGGAGGGTGCTGAGTGTTAATGGGAGTGGCTGAGTGTTAACAGGAGTGGCTGAGTGTTAACAGGAGTGGCTGAGTGTTAACAGGAGAGTGGCTGAGTGTTAACAGGAGTGGCTGAGTGTTAACAGGAGGATGCTGAGTTATAACAGAAGTGGCTGAGTGTTAACGGGAGTGGCTGAGTGTTAACAGGAGCGGCTGAGTGTTAACAGGAGTGGCTGAGTGTTAACGGGAGTGGCTGAGTGTTAACGGGAGTGGCTGAGTGTTAACAGGAGTGGCTGAGTGTTAACAGGAGGATGCTGAGTTATAACAGAAGTGGCTGAGTGTTAACGGGAGTGGCTGAGTGTTAACGGGAGTGACTGAGTGTTAACAGGAGTGGCTGAGTGTTAACGGGAGTGGCCGAGTGTTAACGGGAGGGTGCTGAGTGTTAACAGGAGTGGCTGAGTGTTAACAGGAGTGGCTGAGTGTTAACGGGAGTGGCTGAGTGTTAACAGGAGTGGCTGAGTGTTAACAGGAGTGGCTGTGTGTTAACGGGAGTGGCTGAGTGTTAACAGGAGTGGCTGAGTGTTAACAGGAGTGGCTGAGTGTTAACAGGAGTGGCTGAGTGTTAACAGGAGTGACTGAGTGTCAACAGGAGGGTGCTGAGTGTTAACTGGGGGTTGAGTGTTAACTGGAGTGGCTGAGTGTTAACAGGAGTGGCTGAGTGTTAACAGCAGTGGCTGAGTGTTAACAGGAGTGGCTGAGTGTTAACGGGAGTGGCTGAGTGTTAACAGAAGTGGCTGAGTGTTAACAGGAGTGGCTGAGTGTTGACGGGAGTGGCTGAGTGTTAACGGGAGTGGCTGAGTGTTAACGGGAGTGGCTGAGTGTTAACGGGAGTGGCTGAGTGTTAACGGGAGTGGCTGAGTGTTAACAGGAGTGGCTGAGTGTTAACGGGAGTGACTGAGTGTTAACAGGAGTGGCTGAGTGTTAACTGGAGTGGCTGAGTGTTAACTGGAGTGGCTGAGTGTTAACAGGAGTGGCTGAGTGTTAACGGGAGTGGCTGAGTGTTAACGGGAGTGGCTGAGTGTTAATGGGAGTGGCTGAGTGTTAACGGGAGTGGCTGAGTGTTAACAGGAGTGACTGAGTGTTAACAGGAGTGGCTGAGTGTTAACGGGGGTGGCTGAGTGTTAACGGGGGTGGCTGAGTGTTAACGGGAGTGGCTGAGCGTTAACAGGAGTGGCTGAGTGTTAACAGGAGTGGCTGAGTGTTAACGGGAGTGGCTGAGTGTTAACAGGAGTGGCTGAGTGTTAACGGGAGTGGCTGAGTGTTAACGGGAGTGGCTGAGTGTTAACAGGAGTGGCTGAGTGTTAACAGGAGAGTGGCTGAGTGTTAACGGGAATGGCTGAGTGTTAACGGGAGTGGCTGAGTGTTAACGGGAGTGGCTGAGTGTTAACAGGAGTGGCTGAGTGTTAACAGGAGAGTGGCTGAGTGTTAACAGGAGTGGCTGAGTGTTAACAGGAGTGGCTGAGTGTTAACGGGAGTGGCTGAGTGTTAACAGGAGTGGCTGAGTGTTAACGGGAGTGGCTGAGTGTTAACGTGAGGGTGCTGAGTGTTAACGGGAGTGGCTGAGTGTTAACGTGAGGGTGCTGAGTGTTAACGGGAGTGGCTGAGTGTTAACGTGAGGGTGCTGAGTGTTAACAGGAGTGGCTGAGTGTTAACGGGAGTGGCTGAGTGTTAACGGGAGTGGCTGAGTGTTAAGAGGAGGGTGCTGAGTGTTAACTGGAGTGGCTGAGTGTTAACGGGAGTGGCTGAGTGGTAACAGGAGTGGCTGAGTGTTAACTGGAGTGGCTGAGTGTTAACGGGAGTGGCTGAGTGTTAACAGGAGAGTGGCTGAGTGTTAACAGGAGGTGCTGAGTGTTAACGGGAGTGGCTGAGTGTTAACGGGAGTGGCTGAGTGTTAACAGGAGTGGCTGAGTGTTAACAGGAGTGGCTGAGTGTTAACGGGAGTGGCTGAGTGTTAACAGGAGAGTGGCTGAGTGTTAACAGGAGGTGCTGAGTGTTAACTGGAGTGGCTGAGTGTTAACGGGAGTGGCTGAGTGTTAACGGGAGTGGCTGAGTGTTAACGGGCGTGGCTGAGTGTTAACGGGAGTGGCTGAGTGTGTTAACAGGAGTGGCTGAGTGTTAACAGGAGTGGCTGAGTGTTAACAGGAGTGGCTGATTGTTAACGGGAGGGTGCTGAGTGTTAACAGGAGAGTGGCTGAGTGTTAACGGGAGTGGCTGAGTGTTAACAGGAGTGGCTGAGTGTTAACAAGAGTGGCTGAGTGTTAACGGGAGTGGCTGAGTTTTAACGGGAGTGGCTGAGTGTTAACAGGAGTGGCTGAGTGTTAACAGGAGTGGCTGAGTGTTAACTGAAGTGGCTGAGTGTTAACGGGAGTGGCTGAGTGTTAACAGGAGTGGCTGAGTGTTAACTGGAGGGTGCTGAGTGTTAACAGGAGTGGCTGAGTGTTAACGGGAGTGGCTGAGTGTTAACAGGATTGGCTGAGTGTTAACGGGAGTGGCTGAGTGTTAACAGGAGTGGCTGAGTGTTAACAGGAGTGGCTGAGTGTTAACAGGAGTGGCTGAGTGTTAACGGGAGCGGCTGAGTGTTAACGGGAGTGGCTGAGTGTTAACAGGAGTGGCTGAGTGTTAACAGGAGTGGCTGAGTGTTAACGGGAGTGGCTGAGTGTTAACGGGAGGGTGCTGAGTGTTAACGGGAGTGGCTGAGTGTTAACAGGAGTGGCTGAGTGTTAACAGGAGTGGCTGAGTGTTAACAGGAGTGGCTGAGTGTTAACAGGAGTGGCTGAGTGTTAACAGGAGTGGCTGAGTGTTAACGGGAGGGTGCTGAGTGTTAACGGGAGTGGCTGAGTGTTAACGGGAGTGGCTGAGTGTTAACAGGAGTGACTGAGTGTTAACAGGAGTGACTGAGTGTTAACGGGAGTGGCTGAGTGTTAACGGGAGTGGCTGAGTGTTAACAGGAGAGTGGCTGAGTGTTAACGGGAGTGGCTGAGTGTTAACGGGAGGGTGCTGAGTGTTAACAGGAGTGGCTGAGTGTTAACAGGAGTGGCTGAGTGTTAACAGGAGTGGCTGAGTGTTAACGGGAGTGGCTGAGTGTTAACAGGAGTGGCTGAGTGTTAACGGGAGTGGCTGAGTGTTAACAGGAGTGGCTGAGTGTTAACAGGAGAGTGGCTGAGTGTTAACAGGAGTGACTGAGTGTTAACGGGAGTGGCTGAGTGTTAACGGGAGTGGCTGAGTGTTAACAGGAGAGTGGCTGAGTGTTAACGGGAGTGGCTGAGTGTTAACGGGAGGGTGCTGAGTGTTAACAGGAGTGGCTGAGTGTTAACAGGAGTGGCTGAGTGTTAACAGGAGTGGCTGAGTGTTAACGGGAGTGGCTGAGTGTTAACGGGAGTGGCTGAGTGTTAACGGGAGTGGCTGAGTGTTAACGGGAGTGGCTGAGTGTTAACAGGAGTGGCTGAGTGTTAACGGGAGTGGCTGAGTGTTAACTGGAGTGGCTGAGTGTTAACGGGAGTGGCTGAGTGTTAACGGGAGGGTGCTGAGTGTTAACGGGAGTGGCTGAGTGTTAACGGGAGTGGCTGAGTGTTAACAGGAGTGGCTGAGTGTTAACGGGAGTGGCTGAGTGTTAACAGGAGTGGCTGAGTGTTAACGGGAGTGGCTGAGTGTTAACGGGAGTGGCTGAGTGTTAACGGGAGTGGCTGAGTGTTAACGGGAGTGGCTGAGTGTTAACAGGAGAGTGGCTGAGTGTTAACGGGAGTGGCTGAGTGTTAACAGGAGAGTGGCTGAGTGTTAACGGGAGTGGCTGAGTGTTAACAGGAGTGTCTGAGTGTTAACAGGAGAGTGGCTGAGTGTTAACAGGAGTGGCTGAGTGTTAACCGGAGAGTGGCTGAGTGTTAACGGGAGTGGCTGAGTGTTAACAGGAGAGTGGCTGAGTGTTAACGGGAGGGTGCTGAGTGTTAACGGGAGTGGCTGAGTGTTAACATGAGTGGCTGAGTGTTAACGGGAGTGGCTGAGTGTTAACGGGAGTGGCTGAGTGTTAACAGGAGAGTGGCTGAGTGTTAACAGGAGAGTGGCTGAGTGTTAACGGGAGTGGCTGAGTGTTAACGGGAGTGGCTGAGTGTTAACAGGAGAGTGGCTGAGTGTTAACGGGAGTGGCTGAGTGTTAACAGGAGAGTGGCTGAGTGTTAACGGGAGTGGCTGAGTGTTAACCGGGGGTTGAGTGTTAACAGGAGTGGCTGAGTGTTAACAGGAGAGTGGCTGAGTGTTAACCGGGGGTTGAGTGTTAACCGGGGGTTGAGTGTTAACGGGAGTGGCTGAGTGTTAACCGGAGAGTGGCTGAGTGTTAACCGGGGGTTGAGTGTTAACCGGGGCTGCCCGGTGGATCTGAACCGTGTTGCAGGTGAGATCCCTCACCTTTGACCAGAGCGGCCTCTACCTAGCCGTGGGGGGCACGGACATCCGCGTCTATCTGTGCAAGCAGTGGCAGGAGCTGCTACACTTCACCGGTGAGTGGAGGCACACTCTATACACACACACCTCTATACACACCTGTACACACACACACACTCTCCTCTACACACACACACACCTGTACACACACACACACACACACCTCTATACACACCTGTACACACACACACACTCTCCTCTACACACACACACACCTGTACACACACACACACACTCACCTCTACACACACACACACACTCACCTCTACACACACACACCTGTACACACACACACACACTCACCTCTATACACACCTGTACACACACACACACACTCACCTCTATACACACACTCACACTCACTTCTACATACACACACACCTGTACACACACACACACCTCTATACACACCTGTACACACACACACACACACCTCTATACACACCTGTACACACACACACACACTCACCTCTATACACACACACACACACTCACCTCTATACACACACACACACTCACCTCTATACACACACACACACACGCTCACCTCTACACACACTCACCTCTATACACACACACACTCACCTCTATACACACACACACACACGCTCACCTCTACACACACTCACCTCTATACACACACACACTCACCTCTATACACACACTCACACTCACTTCTACATACACACACCTGTACACACACACACACACACTCACCTCTATACACACACTCACACTCACTTCTACATACACACACCTGTACACACACACACACACACTCACCTCTATACACACACTCACACTCACTTCTACATACACACACCTGTACACACACACACACACACTCACCTCTATACACACACACACCTGTACACACACACACTCACCTCTATACATACACACACACTCACCTCTATACACACACTCACACTCACTTCTACATACACACACACCTGTACACACACACTCACCTCTATACACACACACACACTCACTTCTACATACACACACACCTGTACACACACACACACACTCACCTCTATACACACACTCTACACACACCTGTACACACACACACACTCACCTCTATACACACACTCACACTCACTTCTACATACACACACACCTGTACACACACACCCTCACCTCTATACACACACTCACACTCACTTCTACATACACCTGTATACACACCCACACACTCACCTCTATACACACACACACACACACTCACCTCTACACACACACACCTGTACACACACACACACACTCACCTCTATACACACACACACACACACTCACCTCTACACACACACACCTGTACACACACACACACACTCACCTCTATACACACACACACACACACTCACCTCTACACACACTCACCTCTATACACACACACACTCACCTCTATACACACACACACTCACCTCTATACACACACTCACACTCACCTCTATACACACACTCACACTCACTTCTACATACACACACACCTCTACACACACCTGTACACACACACCTCTACACACACACTCACCTCTATACACACACACACACACACTCACTTCTACATACACACACACCTGTACACACACACACACACTCACCTCTATACACACACTCACACTCACTTCTACATACACACACACCTCTACACACACCTGTACACACACACCTCTACACACACACTCACCTCTATACACACACACCTGTACACACACACACACACTCACCTCTACACACACACACCTGTACACACACACACAAAAAAACAAAGACAAAGATCCCCCGTATAGCCTTAACAGACTGTAGGGGCAAGTGCTGTTAGCGAGCACCTATGAAGGCCGGATCGGTACACGAGGGGGTGGGTGGCCAGCACCACGCCCGACCGCCTTTGTCTCCCTAGTGGCAATGTTTACACACCGCACCAGGTACTCATTTGAGGCTGAGTCGACCTAGGGGAGGCCCGGGACCGGTTCAGATAATCGTCACTGGTGTTGGCCGTGAGCGGGAATCGAACCCGGGTCGCCAGGTTCATAGCGCAGCGTAGCGCTAACCACACCAGTACACACACACACACACCTGTACGCACACACACACACACACACCTGTACACACACACACACGTACACACACACCAGTACACACACACACTCACCTCTACACACACCCACACTCACCTCTACACACACACACACCTGTACACACACCTGTACACACACACACCTGTACACACACACACACTCACCTCTACACACACACACACACCTGTACACACACACACTCACCTCTACACACACACACCTGTACACACACACACACTCACCTGTCCACACACACACACTCATCTCTACACACACACACCTGTACACACACACCTCTACACACACCCACACACCTGTACACACACTCACCTGTATACACACACCTGTACACACACTCACCTCTACACACACACCTGTACGCACACTCACCTCTACACACACACACCTACACACACACACACACCTGTACACACACCTGTACACACACTCACCTGTACACACACCTGTACACACACACAGACTCACCTGTACACACACCTGTACACACACACTCATGTACACACACACTCACCTGTACACACACACTCATGTACACACACACTCACCTGTACACACACACACCTGTACACACACACCTCTACACACACATACCTGTACGTACACACACACACACCTGTACACACACACACATGTACACACACACTCACCTGTACACACACACTCACCTGTACACACACACACCTGTACACACACACAAAGACAAAGATCCCCCGTATAGCCTTAACAGACTGTAGGGGCAAGTGCTGTTAGCGAGCACCTATGAAGGCCGGAACGGTACACGAGGGGGTGGGTGGCCAGCACCACGCCCGACCGCCTTTGTCTCCCTAGTGACGATGTTTACACACCGCACCAGGTACTCATTTGAGGCTGAGTCGACCTAGGGGAGGCCCGGGACCGGTTCAGATAATCGTCGCTGGTGTTGGCCGTGAGCGGGAATCGAACCCGGGTCGCCAGGTTCATAGCGCAGCGTAGCGCTAACCGCTACACTATCACTCCCCACCTGTACGCACACACCTGTACACACACACACCTGTACACACACACACACACCAGTACACACACACTTGTACACACTCACCTGTACACACACACACACCTGTACACACACAGACTCAGCTGTACACACACACTAACCTGTACACACACACTCACCTGTACACACACACTCACCTGTACACACACACTCACCTGTACACTCACACCTGTACACACACACACTCACCTGTACACAGACACACCTGTACACACACTCACCTGTACACAGACACACCTGTACACACACACACACCTGTACTCACACCTGTACACACACACCTGTACACACACACCTGTACACACACACACCTGTACACACACACCTATACACACACCTGTACACACACACACACACCTGTACACACACACCTGTACACACACACTCACCTATACACACACACACACCTGTACAACAACAACAACAACCGCCATTCGCCACTAAGTGGCGGTGACGTCACCACGACGCTTGTGCCAGGCAATGTGCACCCTGAGGCCACGTGAAGTGTCGAACGCCCGCTGGCAGGAGGTCACGGGGCAGACCCAGGTGCCACGGGTCGACTGACTGAGATGACTGGCTGATGCACCACCTGTGCCCCCTACTGTGCCAACCTGCTGTGCTTTAGCCACCCGGCGCTCCGCTCGCTGTTGTGAGCGTCGCTCCTCCGCCCTCCGTTGTTGTTGGAGGGCGACTGCCTCCAACTGCCCAGTAGCATCCTTCACGAGCCTCCTCCACAGAGGCCGATCTTGACACCGCTGGTACCGGTCATCGGCAAGTCCACTCAGCTCCACGTCCTCCTGTACCACATCACTCCATCTCTTCTCTAGCCCGTGCCGCGCCCGCTTAGCCCCCTCAATCCGGCCAAACAAAAGCTGTTTCGGCATGCGGTGGCTGGGCATGCGGGCTACATGACCCAGCCATCGCAGCCTTGCCTGCCGGAGGAGCTCACCGATGGGACCCTGCCCAGATCTTTCAAGGATTTGTGAGCTCCTCACACAATCCAGTCTGGTTAAACCCAGGATGGATCGTAGGCAGGCCAGCCTAAATGTTTCTAACCGGCGAAGATGTTCCATTAGGGGGGTCCACGTTTCGCAAGCGTAGAGAAGGGAGGGAATGACCGTGGCCGAGAAGACCTGAAGCTTAGTGCGGAGCGACAGACCAGGTAGCTTCCACACAGCGTTACGCAACCGATGAAAAGATATTGCCGCTCGACTGATTCGGAGTGAGACCTCTGCTGTTAAACTGGAGCCAGTCATAAGCACACTGCCCAGGTATGGGAAACTCTGCACTCTCTCCACAACTGCCCCTGTACACATACTCACCTGTACACTCACACCTGTACACACACTCACCTGTACACACACACACCTGTACACACACACCTGTACACACTCACACCTGTACACACACACACACACACCTGTACACACACACCTGTACACACACACACACCTGTACACACACAACTGTACACACACACACACACCTGTACACACACACACCTGTACACACACACACCTGTACACAGACACACCTGTACACACACACCTGTACACACACACTCACCTGTACACACAGACACACCTGTACACAGACACCTGTACACACACACACTCACCTGTACATACACACCTGTAGAGCACACTCACCTGGTCACAGACACACCTGTACACACACACACCTGTACACACACACCTGTACACACACCTGTACACACACACTCACCTGTACACACACACACCTGTACACACACCTGTACACACACACACACCTGTATACACACACACTCACCTGTACACACATACACCTGTACACACACTCACCTGTATACACTCACCTGTACACAGACACACCTGTACACACACACACCTGTACACACACACACCTGTACACACACCTGTACACACACACTCAC